GTTGTGCAGGGGCTGACCCTACAGAGTAGGATTCACTTGAGAAAGGCTCTAGTGCCTGCCCAGTCTGCCCTTGGGTGTGTCATTTGTGGAGGTGGTTAGGTAGTGCTCTGGTGTGGTGTGAAGCTGGCCGCCAGGTGTGTTGGCTCTGGGACCTCTTTGGAAGTGTTCTGTTGCAGGCCAATTCAGCTGTTGCCTGTGCCCTTCCTGGGGCCACTTGGTGTGAGCTACAAAGTGATCTGCAGATGACTGCTACTTGTGCTAGGCCTGGAGGTGCTTGGTACAGGTTAAGCTATGAACCAAGGTCGGCTCCCACTGGTGACAGGCTTGGAGCAGCTAGCAAGAGGTATGGAGCTCACGAAGGCCAGATGCTATTTGTTTAGGGTTTCTGAACCTTTTGAGAGGTTTTAGAAAAGTCCTAAGCATGAACCAAAACAGGCCATTTCTACAGAAAAGCCACTGGAAGCGGCTTGGGTGGACCCACAAGTTGAGTGGGACAGGGTCTCAAATAGTCACCAGGGCAGGTCCAATGGTGTCAGTCAGGTTTATGGAAACTCAGATATGGCACCAACTTGCATGTGCTGGGTAGGAAGGGGAGGGTTCAACAAAGGAACAATGCCTTTTGCCAGCATTTCTGTCTGGGAGAAAGCTGCCTCTCCAGCCCTCACCTTAAAGCCAGACAATTCACTTTCTCCCCATATATCCCTGGCTTCTTTCGAACTGCTGCCCCAGCTCTGGAACTCAGAACAAGTGAGTCCGTCAACGAGTAAATCCATGCATGGGCCCTTTAAGAGGAATCCGTGGGACTCCAGCAACCTTCTTACTCAGCCACAATCTCTGCTGGTTTTTGCAGGAAGAAGTTACGAGGACTTCTCTTTCTAGCACTGGAGCCCTGGGCTCCTGGGTTGGGACACCTTGCTCCTCAGGGGGTCCTCCACAGCTGAAATATCCCTTCCAATTTTTAACTGCCACATGTGGATGTGGGGCCATCCCATTCCTCGTCTCTGCCTACCTACCAGTCTCAGTGCAGCTTCTTCTGTATGTCCTTAGTTATAGCACTTCTGTTCGTCTAGACTTCAGGCAGTTCCCAATGATGGTTGTTCTGTAGTTTAGTTGTAACTTTGATGTGGTCATGAGATGAAGCCAGCACAGTGTTTACCTTCTCTGCCATCTTGACCAGTCCTTCTAACAGGTGAATTTTTGTGACTGGCTTCTTTTACTTAATGCTTTTAAAGTTTGTGCTCTTTATAACATGTATCAGCACTTTATTCCTTTATATGGTAGTAACATTTTATTGTGTAGTTATATCACATTTTGCCTATTTAACAACTAATGGAAATTTGGGCTGTTTTTACTGTTGGCTTCTGAATAACGCTGCTATAAACATTCAAATGCAAATTTTTGTATGGATATATATTTTCATTTTCTTGGGTACACATATATTTATGTACCTAGCAGTGGAATTGCTGGATCATATGGTAACTGTGTTTAACATTTTGAGAAACTGTAAAAGTCACTGCACCACTCTACAATCACATCAACAGTGTATCAGCATTCCAATTTCTCCAAGTTCTCACCTCCAACACTTGTTATTGTCTTTCTTTTTGAGTCTAGCCATCATGCTGGTGAGTGTGAAAAAGTATATCATTGTGGTTTTGATTTGGATTTTCCTGGTTACTAATATTGTTGAGCATTTTTTCCTGTGCTTATTGGCCATTTGTATGTTATCTTTGTAGACATGTCTGTTAAAATCCTCTGCCTGTTTCTTAGTTGGGTAATTTGTCTTTTTATTTGAGTTGTAAAAGTTCTTCATGTGTTCTGAATACAAGTCCTTTGTCAGATACATGATTCCCATATATTTTCTTCCATTTTGTCAGTTGTCTTTTCACTTGATGTGAAATAGTGAATTTTAATATTTTTAGTTTTCATGTTTCCTGAAAACTTCAGTTTTCAAAATTGTTTCCATATTATATGCTGAATGGAATATAAGCCAGATAGCCTTGAAGTGTACATGAGAATAAAGTGAATGCATCTACTTTTCTGTAGATTAGAAGTTCCCATGTTGGTCACAAAAAACACAGTCTTCCCAAAGTCATCTAGGTGAACCTCTCAGCCAGTGAAGGTAAATTACTATTGATAACACAGATGTATCTTCACACCTAATTAGAGTTTGAAAGCACTGAAAAAAACATTATTTGTGTTTCTGAACTGTTGATTGGTTAATTCAACATCATTTGAACCTCTGTTTAACCTGCCCTCTTCCTTTTTCTTCTTTCCTTTTTCCTGCTCCCTTCTCTTCTATCCCCCACCCCCACACCCTCTCTCCATTTCAGATTGAAAATGGCTCAGGAATCAGTCAGCAAGTTGACGGCAGAGAAGAAAGTGGAGACAAAGAAAATCAATCCCACAGCTAGTCTGGTGAGTTGCATTTTCAGCATAACCTCAAGATTTTTATTATAACTGAGGTGTACCCAGAAGTGTTTCTGGATTTAAAGGATAAAACTCAGGGAAATGGCAGGTCATATGGAAGGAGTAAGGAACAAAACACAGCTCATGTGTTGTTCTCCCAGTGTACTCAACAAAGGTCATTGCCTGATAAACCAATTGAGTCACTTGCCCTTTCACACCCCACTCCATGTCATGATCCATCCACCTTACCTCAAAGAACCTTTCTCCTGAAATGTGTAAGTGTTTCACCCTCATCATTTCCTTTTCCCTGTTAAAGAAAGGGGTAGGGTTTATCCCCCCCCCCCTTGTTTTTTATATTGGGCAATTGGGAGAGAGGAACAGCACTGGGGAATCAGGGGAAGGGGAACAGAAAAGTTGCTGTTATTTTGCTCTTCAGTCTAGTTGTGGAGGACTTTGCTTCACTGGCCCATGTTGGTATTATCATTGTGCTCTTCCCGGCTGAGGCAGATCAGTCACCGGCCTCTGGACAGCCAGTCACAGCGCTGCTGGCCACTCAAGCTGGCTGCTGGCTACAGTAGCCCATGGCAACCCATTGCAGCAGGGGCTGCAGCCTAGCCCTAGAGGGCAGTGTCACTGGCCCTCATATATGGGATCC